GTTTGGAGGGTTTTGGAATAGATAAGTCAGAATTAGATTTATTATATTCATCCTTTCAATTACTTAATTCTAAACCTATAGATTTTAAGTGTATACTATTTTGAGTTGTTTTTTTTCTTTTGCAAATAACCATGAGCATACTAACCTGCCAAAAAAACCTGGGGACATATTTGCATAGGCAAAGATATCCAAACTATCTTGGGCATCAGAGACAACATAGCCTGGTTAACACAACAGCTGCCATAATTACCCATGCTAATGTATTTCTGTGTATACTACACTGTACTGTGCAGAATCTAGCTTTTTTCTGAACAGAGAGGAAGACTTCCAGAAACACCTGACCTTCCTAATAAAACTGCTAATTTAAAACTTCCTAATTTAACTTTTTAGGAGTAAACTAAAGAATTAGTAATTACTTTAGCTTCTTCACAGAGAACTTTCTTTTTTTCATTTTCATTCTCTTCAGAATTACAGAGTAGCATGAAAAGTACATTTGTATATAACAAGAAAAATATATTTTGCTTCAGGAAAAGAGTAGGTTTAGGTGATCTCATGCAAAATTTGGAAGGAAGTCTGTTCAATGTTACTGTATGAGGAAGCAGCAATGGAGGATGTTTGGAGACAGGAGGAAGCTTCCCATTTTTAATACTTAACCACTTCTATTTGGTCCTTAAGTCTAATAGGAAGGCGTGACTAAGAAGCATACTGATATCACCACTGAGAATTTTTATGTACATGTTTATTTTTTTTAAATTTTCCTCTACCTGATAAAATTCCTTACTACTTTCCCTGCATTTCCTGAAATATTTTCTGAGGTGTTTTGGTTTTGTGGAGGTTTTTTTTGTTTTGTTTTGTTAAACAAAATATCACAGCAGATGACAGCAGATGCACTAGAACCATAAACATGAAGTTGACTTTTGTTGCACTTTACCATGTCATTCTATTCTGGGATAATAATTTTATCTGTTAGCATTCCTTTTAAACTTTATTTACTTTCGTGTTATTAAACTCCTATCTATCAGCTTCCCTTTGCTATTCTCCTTTTCAGTACACTGTTGTCAGCTGACAACATCTTGATCTTATTTATACACTAAAATGTTTCTATTGCCAAACCTTCTCTTTCAGCGTGCATGCCTGACTTCCACTGAACACTGGAGCAGGATTTTGAGTGAAATAATGTATGAGAAACTGTGATAAATTGAGAGGATTAGAGCATAGAGCACAAATCTGTGCAATCTGAAAGTTGTGAACTTAAACAGGAAAAAAATAAAAACAGAAAACAATTCCTCCAAAAGTGTGGAAAATAACATATTAAGATTGAAGAACATTTTTATTCTGCAGATATTACATTTAATTTATTCTCTTTTCAAAACCACCTACATGAAATTCTGTAAGTGAAATATTTGTTTTGCAGGAGAGAGAAAAATAGATATGTTCAAAATCACAAAGAATCCAATAAAAGTCCTCAACAAGGTATTTCAGGTTTCCACGGGTAGATTTATCCTTTAATGATCACTGGAATAATCTACACAGAACATACAGAGTTTTGCTCAACTTATAATGAATTTTCAGCAGTATGCCGAGCTGATTAGATACAATTCTCCATATGTTTTAGCCAATTGATAAATGTAAATCTTATTTAAAACTCCTTAGAAGTTACATGTCTTTTTGGAGACTGAAAGAAATTGTTTCAGAGCCTATTCAACACAAAGCTAGTCTCAACAAGCAGTATTATAGCGGATATCAGTGGATACCAGGAAAAAGCAGTAAACAAGGCTACTGTATAGGCAGCATTTCTTTACAGTTCCTAAACCCATAGTGATAATATGCCAACTTTGTTCTAAAAAAATCCTTTCTTTACTTTGCCAGATAGCAAAATACACTATCTAAAGAAAAAATCCATCTGAAAAAAAATTCGTAAGATCTAAGAGAGTAACAGCAATGTAGTGAATGAAAGGAAATGGAAGTATAATTTCTCAAATGTTCTTATCTTGCCACTATACACATGATAGTAATTGGCAGAGAAAAGAATTCACTGCTACTGACTTCACCGCTTCTTCTCTGGACAACTGTTGCCTCCCATTCAAGTGACAAAGTCTGTTTAGCCTGCTTTGCCTACTTAGTGAAAATAAAACATTTCAAATATCAACTTTCTAGGCAGGGACTGCCTTGCAGTGGCAGATATTACTCATTCCATACTTTGCTCAGCAGCCACTTGTTGGCATCATTCCTTTGCATAAGACCCCTTGGCAGAATCAAATACATGAAATCATATTTTCTACGCAATCTCAACAGCAGTTGATGATGAAAAAACAGCAGAGATGGATATTGAAGATGGCTTTTTAATGGTTTGAACAACTCACAATTTTTCAATATAAAATCTGTGGATTCTGAAATAATACCAACCTACACTAAAAGAGATTATGAGCTATAAATCATAATCAAGGAAACGAGAAAAGTAGATGGCTATCAAGATGAATGTTGGCGTCCAGATGCTGTATCAAAATTATCTCATGTTTCGAAAGCTTTGAAACTGCAGCAATACAAATCAGGTTTATTGAAAGTGACACATAGTGTATGTGATCTGAAACACTAAATAATTCCTGACAAAAATGGGTATCGGCTTTCACTTGTCAGCAAGACAAGTTTGTTAGTGCTGAAGTATTCAAGTAGCTCATGGCTGAGACAGATAATAGTACCAAGCATTAATTGCAAATAACTGTTGTAGCGATTTTTCCCTGAGTCTCTCAGGTGTAAATTAACCCTTCCAAAACAAGCCTAAATTACAATCATTAACAAGCAGGGAAGAAGAAATACTTTTATCCTTGTACACTTTGCCAATGCAGTGTTTCTCATTCTTATTCTCTGGTCAGGCTGAGGAGATATTTTATCATGATAGATTAGACTATTTTCCAAATGAGAGTACTTACCAGCTCTAAAGCTGTAGAGCAGCCTTCTGTGCTTTTGACAGTCTCAAAAAGAACTAGAAGCCTCCTTTTGCTGGTTTTATATCCATTTTGGGAAGAAGTTTCTCTTAGACATCTTCCACTAATTGCCACAAAGACTTGTACAGGATTCCAAAGGCAAAAGAGTAATCTTCTTTTCTAATATACAACTAATCTAAATCCCCTCTGCCTTTTTCCTGTGGAGGCAGGCAAATAGTAAACAGGAGGAGAATCCTGCTTGGTTGCCTCATTTGCAAAAACAGTATAAAAGCAGAAGGAAGTTTCCAAAGTAATTGCTATGATAAAAGGAGTTGTCAAGGCTAAAAGCCAGATGTGGCTTCAAAAGACTGTTTTTAAACTCTGAAGCACTTTGTTTAGTAGGTCAGGACATATGAAAATTTAGACATAAAAAAGTGCTTTTTTGTTTAAACTTAACATAAATACAAGGCTCCTCTTTAAACTTTGAAATAAAGTTAGCTTACTTGCTGCCAAAGAATACTTTGCTTGAGCACAATGAAATGCCCGTTACTAAAGAGACATTACCTGTTACTAGATTTGCTTGGTAGCAGCCTTACCTGTTACTAAAAAAATACTTAGTTCTCTATAACATTGTCCAAATTTTGCAGATTCTGCATTATTTGTTTCTGTCTTTTAGGCCACATTTAACATAAAAGGCTTTGTCTACCTAATCAAAATCAAACAAGAACTCCATTATTATTTCTGTCTTAATTCAACTAGCCTTGCAGAAACAGATAAAAAAATCTGCGAACACAAAAAGTTCTCATTGCAATGGCTAAGATTAAAATATAACACTTCTCTGTACAGATTTCTGATCTGTAAATACAATTACCTGTAAACCTATTTAAAAGTTATTAGATAGCTATTATTATAAAAGTTTTTTCTAAAAACATCTCATGAAATGAAGTCTCAAGATCACACCAACTTACCTGTGTTCCAGAATCCTGTATTAATGATGATCAGTGTGACTGAGAGAATAAGCTTTACAATAGTTACATGACTCTTGTGAAACATGTATACAATGCTAAAATCACAAAGTGCCACAGGCATAGCAGATGACAGAATTGTATAATGGCGTACTGAAAACTATACTATATCTACAGTATAGAACCTTAAAGCAATTTAAGCATTTCTAGATTAGTAGCACAGGATTATTCATGCTTTTATATACTAAAAATCAGAGAATTGCTGGTAAAAACTGTTCTGTAGAATACACTACGGCTAGTGCTTGAAGAAGAAAATAATTCAGAACTTCTTGAGGTTAGTTTGTTCATCATACACTTACAAGTAATTATGCTTAATGGAAATGAGAATTAAGGGTCTCCCTGTCCAGAGTGAGAACAAAAAAAAAAAAAACAAAAACCAAACATGTTTTGAACTGAAAATCACTCATAATTCTTTGACATTAAAGTGGATGAGCTGATGTAGAAAATGCACTGTGATGAATACTGTGATTAGGTAATTACTACGCAAGGTAACACATCAGTTTTATCTGGTGAGATGGCTTTCCTGGTGCTTTACTTGAGGTTCCTGAAAATACGCCCACACTCTCTTATACATAAGTGAATTTTATCTTTCATTCAATGTGTCTAGCTTTCATTTGCATTTTGCTTAGAAGGAGAATCCTACACTTGAGATCATTTTTAACTGATTATTTGCTACAGGAACTTATTTCTGCTAAACTTTCCTAATTTATTGAGGTCTCTCAGTTGATGTGAATTTCATTCCATGCTGGGAATCCTATGTCCTCAAATCTATTAAATATAAATTTTTCAAAAAAAGGCTACTGCCTCTTAGATGAGTTGATACAAATCATCAGAATCCCTGATTCTCCATAATTTTGGTTGCTTTTGGTGCTGCAGAGAATTCCATTCACTGATTCTGTAAGTCAAACTATAAAACGTGAGCCACCTAAATTTCTTACCATGAGATGCCTATTAATTTAAGCTGAAACTTATCCCTTAAAATCTATCTTTTAAAAATATTTAAGCACATTCTGACAATTGATACAATTTAATAAAGTTCTGTGTCCATTACCTTTAAAGATGATTTAGTCCGAGGTTCTGTTTTCTGTCTGGTAAGTTTGTTTTGAATAAGCAATGACTGATCTGTACGAGCATCATAATTTCCATGTTCTGAATCATCTGTGTATGTGTCTTTTTCCTTTCCTATGTCTGAAGGAAAAACAGAAGAAAACATTGGGCTCATTTTAGGTTATAGTGGGGAGAACTAACAGTATTGTTACAGCCATGGTTGAATATTCCTTTTAAGTACTCACTTTTCAATAACTTTTATTCTATTCTTTCCTGTAAAAGTTTTTTACTTGAAACATTGTCATGTTTGTCTTAAACCAGAAGTGACTATTTCTAGTAGAAGGCCTATAGAAACTTTTTTCTACTACCATTCAAAGCAAAAAAGCCCACAATGTTCTTCACAGTAGTTTTAAAAATCCCACAAAGTGATACAAAGCAAATATTAAAACACTTTTGTGCTTGACTCACAATTGTCGAGACTCAAAATGTGTTATCAAATAGGCAGGTGCATTCTAGAGACCTGAGTATCATCTCCTATTTTACATTTAAATAAAAAATTGAAATGCCCAATTCCCTAAGCACATGCTGCTCATCATTACGTGTAGTATTTGAAAATTCACGTGTTGCAGTGACCTCTTCAGAACATATTTTAAGAGGTGGACCTCATAGTGGTAGAAGAAAGTGTTTTCCTTTCCACTGAATTTGTTTCTAATTGCTCAACGAAAGTTTTAATAAAAACTTAGTCGAGTATCCTAAGATAGCTGCAAGTGACTGAGGACCTTCCTCAAAGCTTACTAAGATCCACTCTCACAGATTAGATTTCCTCCTGCATCATCACTGCAGGCAAGTCAAAAGGACTTAAGTCTCTGAGTCACTCTACATCCTTTATCAGAAGGAAGACTTTCTTTTAGACATTTAATTTCTTTGCATATTCTCCATCAAAAAATCATGACAATACTTACGACATATATCCATCAGGAGTAAAATGAAGGGTAATGCCTGTACAGTGTTGGACCATGTAAGTTTTAATGAATGTCAGAAAATGGTTAGTCTTGAAAAAAATATTTTAAAGAGGAAAAAGATGGAATAATTATTCCCACACAATTATGTCTTGGACAAATTGGAAATAGAAACATATTCAGACAAAAAAGTAACCCACAAATCCTGAGCCAAGTTCTCATCTCAGCTTTCACATCAACATGGGAAAAGTCAGGGGGACTGGGAACAGCATTTAGCCCAGTAATTCTAAACCCTAAACAGAAGCCAAGAAACAAGTCGTGGTTGCCGTGGGAACCACAATCTTGAATTTCCTGAATTTTATATTCAGAAAAGCTCATCTGCAACAATAAAGCATTTTTCATTAAGTTGTTCAGTTAAATTCTCCACAGTAAGTAGTACAGAAAAAAAATAACCACAATTATCTCATGTAGCCTACACATTTCTGAGATGGAATATTAAACTGGAACATTTACCAAGAGCTGTTTTTTCTGCAATTTAGCTGCTTACATAATGATTACACAAAATGAGCCCTCGGTAATGATATTAACCTCAGTAAATCTGCAAAGAGATTTCTTAATGTATGAAATAGCCTGTTTTAATTGTCAGAGCACCAAATAGAGATTTTGTTTATTTCAAACAATGTTTTAACCTAATATACAGGTTACTCTGTGTAAGGTAGTAAAATAATGATGGTACAAGTAGGAGTTATACAAAGTAGGAAACAGGATACTTAAGGAACTTTGCAGATTTGACTCACACCCAGATATGATGAGCTATTAGCCTTACTAAAGATCGAGGTCTTGTAATACAAGCCAGTATAACAAAAAGCTGAAAGACTCTACTTACATTAAAAAGCCTTTTTACGAGGAAAGTTTTCGAGGATTAGACATTATGAATACACCTAATACTCAAAAAAAGCCTTTGCAAAAAGTATATAATGTTTTATTTAAACAATTTAAAGTTATGAAATACGTTTTTCCTTAGTGTTCAACATACTTTTAAGTGCTAAACATTTTTATGTTTTAAAGGACACAGCTTTTAAACTGTAGCATGTATTTTCTGTTAAAAAAAAATTACCTTCCATTTAGATATCTGCTATCTTTTCTGAAGCGTAGTCAAAAAATGTTTCAGTAACAAAAAAAAATTCATAAACCCAAAGAAATTTGGAACTACAAAGATACATTTCTTATATAAATTTTAACTATACTTGCTATTGTACCTTTCAGCAGTTGATGACTTTTTTTATGCACCTAAAGCACTGTCCTACAAAGTAATGGTATTGATACAGTAAAAAGGGGAGGGATGAAGATTAAAATATAGCATTTAATTATTGAACTTGAATAAGCATTTGTTACACCTGTCTGAAAAAATGTCAGACTGAGAGATATAGCATACAATCCATATTTTAAAAGTATATTCAAAGTGTGCATTTTTCTTAACATTCGTGTAGTTTTAGACATTAATGTCAACTAAACACCTAAAGTATGCTTTGTAAATACTTTGAATAGACTAGTAATCCCATTTACCTCTTCTGCAGCAATATTAAAAAAAAATCTTTAATATAAATAATTATATTCTAAGAAAAAGTTCAATAGATTGCATCATATTTCAATACCAGAGCAGGTTACAAAGAACAATTGCAATGTATGTATGCTTTGGGAGGCTCATTTTGTTTCTTAACTTGAACTTTTTATAAATTTCTTTTGACTCGTTTTAAAATTTTTAAAGAATAGAGAATGAAATATGTTGGTTTTAGAAAAAGATCTTGAGACAAGGTGACAGAAATTAAACTTTGCCACTATTAGGATTAACTACATTTTTGTATTTTACTATGACTTGGTGCTTTTTCTGTAATCAGGTATCCACTGCTTTCATTAAAAGAGGGTCTCTCTCCTGTAATTTTCCCACGCAACAAAGCAAAATTACATTCCTTTAAAGTTACACTTATACAACCTAAATTAACTTGAGCTTGATCCTTCTTAGTGTCACCAACGCACACTACAATACAGTGATTTAACTCCTTCAGTCTTTTTTCAAAAATTGCAGTTTTAAACTTCCATGACATTTTTGTATAATGTTTGCCTATAAAGTAATTCTGTTTTCTGTCATCGTTTCCTCCACAATCTCTATTATTTGGTTTTGCATTTTAACTCCCATTTGGGATTGCCACCAGTCAAACCCAGATAGCATTCCTGAAAGTCGTGGCTGGAGTTGTACTGCTCAAGGATGTTTTTAACGTGACATACCCAAAAAGCAATGATAGGGACTAATAGCCTTTCTATGTGACTTGCATTATAAGTATCTATCTTGAAATTCAAACACAGTGTCTTTATTTGGCTGCAGCTCCACAAAACATCATGAGAAAAGCTTGGCTGCCTCAAGCTCTTCCCCTCTGCACTGTGGGAAAGCTACTGTTTACTTCATTTTTAATTTCCCATCATGCTTTCCCTGGCCTACGACAACTCATTTGGTTGTTATTGTTGAGAACTGCCAGCTCTCCCTGCTTCTGTAGTTTTTGGATGGGCTCTAACGCCAACCACCACAACTAACCTGCTTGACTTTGGGAGGAGGAAGGGTGTAGGCAAGAAGTCATAGGAGGAAAAAAACCCCAAATCTAGTCCATATTGCTCTAGAAGCTCAGGCTTTTAAAACCAATTAACAGAACGATGGCTTCTTAACAGACCTCAAACCACTGCCCGCTTTCCCATGCGTATGTTCTCCACTGTTAATAAGTGCTGTCCCATCTGTGCTTTGCCAGGCACATCGGAAAGACATGAGCCAGGAGTGTAACATTTGTGTACACCACTGGGCTTCCAAGTGCTTGTAAAGTTCTTATTAAACATTTTTTGGGGCTTTTTTAATTCTTCTTCTTTTCAGAGCTAAAAAATGTTGATCGGCTTCTCAGCTGTGTAGGTCTAATCACTAAGACACTGCTCTACAGTGGCCAATGATCAATGTTTATATGTTGAAATATATCAGCTGAGCAGATATGGTTTATTAGCTTTCAGTTAATCTACACTTACATTTCAGTAACATACTAGAGGGAATAGTCATTTAGAAATGTCTAAAAGCCTTTTAGTCAATGTAAAAATCTCACAAGGTTGGCAGAGAGTGTAATGGTTGTTTAGGAAACATTTTTCCATTTCTCCTTTACTGCAGGATGAAATAAAAAAAAACCCAGAACATGAAATAATTTCTGTCCTGTTGGGAAGACACTTGGCTAAAAAGCAATACCCCTACATTAAGTAAATGGCAAATCTAGAGTTATTTGGAAAACTTTGAAACTCTGCAGAACGTTAAGAGATAGAAGGAAAAAAAGAAAAAAAAAAAAAAAGGACAGGAAAAAACCACCATGATTGGTATAAAAAAGAAGTCTGCTGCAGTGGGAGTACTGCCGATTGGAAGATGGGACTCGTGTATGCTCATGTCCATGTCCTCAAAGCGACAAGGACATCTAAAGCACATCTGCCTTCATTCTTAATCCCTCTCTTTTTTGTTTTTGAGGTCCTGGTAGGATTAAATTTTTTCCAGGGCTGTTCAGGTAAAATATTATTGCTAATGCAAACAGAATGCGCATGATCCTTTACATGACCTCTATATGTGAATTTTCAGAGTACCTACTAAAAGGAGGAGAAAGATTTAAATATTAATCCTACAAAAACTTACATTTAAAAGACTATGTGCTTGCAGAATTGTGTAAATAGCTATACAAAGTAACTATAATGCATTTTTAAGCAATTAGTATAGCCAGTAACAATGTCTTGCTGATGTATTTCACTTATTCATGTACGTTAATTAAAACTTGCATGGTATTTGAGAGCTTTTTGAACTGCTGTCATATAAAAAGTTTTATTTAAAAAAATTAAACTGTTTAGCTTTCCCTAACACTGTAATAATAAGATAGGAAAAAAAAAAATCTGAATTTTAAATAAAGGTGAGGATATTAAATCAGAGAAAAGGGTAACAGTTTTTAATTCTAGACGCAAAGACCAAATCATATTTCAATAAAGTCAATAGAAATTTCACTATTCAATAAGTCAAGGACTTTTCTTTAATTAGGTATATACTTAAATTTAATTAAGTATATACTTATAATCGTTAGCATACCTAAACATATAACTAAGTAATGTGTACTGTCAGCT